CAGAAATTTTGCTGCTGCAGCTGTTGTTGCTGCTGCATCTGCGGTTGCTGCTGCTGCTGCTGCAGGTACTGCTGCTGTAGTGGCTGTGGCTGCATTGGCTGCTGCGGCATTGGCTGCTGCTGCATTGGCTGCTGCTGCATTGGCTGCTGCTGCAGTGGTTGCTGCTGCAGTGGTTGCATAGCAGGCAGCCCCGTCACCGGTTGCTGCTGCAGCGGTGGCTGCTGCAGTGGTTGCTGCTGCAGCGGCGGTTGCTGCAATGGTTGCTGCTGCAGCGGTTGCTGCTGCACTGGTTGCTGCTGCAGGGGTTGCTGCTGTATTGGCTGCTGCTGCAATTGTTGCTGCTGCAGTGGCTGCTGTAGCTGCTGTGGCTGCAGCTGCTGCTGCTGCATCTGTGGCTGGAGCTGCATTTGCTGCTGCAGAGGCTGCTGCATTTGCTGCTGCAGTGGCTGCTGCATTTGCTGCTGCAGTGGCTGCTGCATTTGCTGCTGTAGTGGCTGCTGCATTTGCTGCTGCAGTGGCTGCTGCAGTTGTTGCTGCAGTGGTTGCTGCTGCTGCAGGTGCTGCTGCATCGGCTGCTGTTGGAAGGTTTGCTGCATTTGCTGCGGCTGCTGCAGCTGCTGCATTTGCTGCGGCTGCTGCAGGAGCTGCATTTGCTGTGGCTGCTGCAGCTGCTGTATTTGCTGCGGCTGCTGCAGATCCATTCCATGCTGCTGCAGCAGCTGGTATTGCACCGCTTGCTGCTGCAGCTGCGGTTGTTGCTGCTGCAGCAGCGGTTGCTGTTGGGGCATCCCCATACTAGGAGGCTGCATCAGCTGCTGCTGCTGCTGCTGCTGCTGCTGTGACCAATCTGGTGGGGGAGGCGGCGGCGGTGGCTGCGGCTGCTGCTGCTGCTGCTGCGGCTGCTGCAGCAGCAGCTGCTGCTGCCCATAGGAGTTGTTGCAGGCTCCCTTCATTGGGGGGGAGCAGCAAAAGCTGCTGCTGCTGCTGTTGCTGCTGGGGTGTACATGCATCGGAATGCTGCCCGGTTGCTGCGGCATTGGCTGCTGCTGCTGCTGCTGTTGCTGCTGCTGCTGCTGCTGCATGCAAAGCCTTTGGCGCTTCTTCTGAAAGTCATGGGGCTGCCGCCGGTGCTGCCGCTGCTGCTGCTGCTGCTGCACTCCCGACGAGCCCCTGTCAGCAGCGCCTGGCGCACTCGGCGCAGCAGCAGCAGCAGCAGCAGGTGCTGCAGCAGCAGCAAGATTCTCATAGGAGATCCGAAGGGAGGGACCCCGGTGTCGGGGGCCCCTGCCTCCTGAGGGGCCCCCCATGGGCCCCCAAGGGTTTAGGGTTTAGGGTTTAGGGTGTTGATTTCTTGATTAGAATTGCTGCGCATTGCACCCTGTGCTGCTGCTGTGACACACGAAGCAGCAGCAGCAGCAGCAGCGGCAGCGGCCGCAGCAGCAGCAGCTGCTGCTTCTAACTCGAGAGGCCCTCAATGGTCCTCCGCTGCTGGAGGCGTTGCTAATATTGCTGCTGCTGCTGCTGCTGCTGCTGCTGTTGTTGTTGTTATTAATGTTGCTGTTGTTGTTGCTGCTGCTGCTGGTATTATTACTGTTGCTGATCCTGCTGCTGTTTTTGCTGCAGCAGCTGCTGCTAGTTGAGTCGCTGGTGGTCTCGATGCTACTCCCGCTGCAGTCGCTGCTGCTGCTGCTGCAGTTGCTGTTGCCCTTTCTTCTGCTGCTGCTGCAGATGCTGCAGCTGCTGCTAGTATATATATTCTTAATTTATTGTAGATCTAAGTTTTATTGCTGCAGTACCCATTTCCTTGGGGCCCCTTGGGGCCCCCTAGGGGCCCCGCAGCATGGAAGGCAGGTGCATGCAAACAGCAGCAGCAGCAGCAGCAGCAGCAGCAAAACATATTTATTAATTTATTTATATTTTGCATTAATAAAATAAATATTTTTAATTAATTATATTTATAATTAAGGGTAACGTTGTGCATGCAGCAGCAGCAGCAACAGCAGCAGCAACACTACCTCGTTGTTCACTAGTGCAGCAGCAGCAGCAACAGCAGCACAGGAGCAACACAGCAGCAGCAACACAACAAGAGCAGCACACCAGCAGCGCAGATACAACTCAGCAGCAGCAGCACAGCAGCAGCGCGTCAGCAAAACAGCAGCAGCTAAACCCTAAACCCTAATAATAGGCCAGTGGTCCCTATAGCAGCAAGTTGCCTCTTAGTGTATATATAGGCATAGACAGTGCAGCAGCAGCAACAGCTGCAGCAGCAGCTGCTGCTGTTGTTGTTGCTGCTGCTGTTGCTGCTGCTGCTGCTGCTGGTCAATAGGGCTTGCGTGGTCTGTTGTCTCCTTTCGGAGATGACGAGGGCAGAGAGTTCTCCCCTAGCTAAACCCTAAACCCTAAACCCTAAATTGTAAACCCTAAACCCTAAACCCTAAATTATAAACCCTAAACCCTAATAGTCTCGTGGTATGTTTAGGAGGAGACAGAAGTGTCTCCTTTTGTATAAACACTAAATATATAAATAATTAATTATATAATTATATTATAAATAATAAATAAATAAATAATTATAATAAAAATATTTATTTATTTATTTATTTATTTATTTATTTATTTATTTATTTATTTATATATTTATTTATATTTGTCCCCTAAACCCTAAAAGGAGACACATAAATAAATATATAATAAACAAAAAACGGAGACACTAAACCCTAAACCCTAAACCCTAAACCCTAAACCCTCGACTGATGGCCACATATTGCTGCGGGGGGCCCCGCATGCAGCAGCACACAGCTTCTGCTGCTGCTGCTGCTGCTGCTGCAGCAGCAGCAGCAAGAGAGAATAAAAAGAAGGGACTAACAAAAAAAGTAAGA